CATTAGTTAAGAGGGACTGTTGCTCACTGACAGCAATCAAATAAGCATTCCAAGCCATTTAACAAAAGACTATTCAATTATTTTAAATTTCGCGCCTGAAAGTCCATCTCCCTAATAAAGACATAAAAAAATTTAAAAAGAATCGCAGAAAACAACGGAGAAACGTTTAACAGCGACAGCCTCCTGGATAAAACGAGGAAAAGGAACTTACTCAGACGAAAGGCGACTACGCTGCACCTGACTAATGCATCTAGCTCTTCTTGCGAAATAGCCATTTGATCGATTTCCGGACCATCCAATTGCATCAGAAAGGCCTGCGGCGGGATTCGACGTAATTTCTTGGTGAGCATGTAAAAATCATCCAAAGGCACTTCCATCGTGACACCGCAGTCAATCAGATAAGTCTAAATCAAGTTTCGTTGAAAAACAAAAAAACAAAAAGTTATTGAAAAACAAAGAGTTGCTATCGGGATTCAAAAAAGTAGCTCACCGTACACGTCATAAAATTCGTTTTCCGCATAATGCTTCCTCGCAAAAATCCCGCCTCATTGGTTCTGAAAATAGCAGAAACATGCATATACTGCCCTCTCAATGATGCCAAAAATCCTAAACTATGCCACATATCCGCTGTAAAACGTAGTGCTGCAGCTATTTCTGGCTACCTTAAAGTTTCCAAAACGGTCATTCTTTATTTCAGTCGTGTACCGGACTTTTTCTGCCTTGTTTCCCACGTTGTGTCTCAGCTGTATCTGGAGATCTTCAATCGATCATCGATCGATTAAAACATAAATTTGTCGGACATTTACTGTGTGTTGCACGTGGCCTGGCCGAGAACTCACGAATTTTAGTTAAAATTGCATAAAACAGTTTATTTTTATGCATTTTTTTTGCAGCTATGCAATGCAAAAAACGCATCTTCGCACCGGCAGTTGGTGCGCTGACAAATTATTTGAAATGCAAATAAGACAGCTATTCGACGGAGCTAACTCAGCGCTGTTTTTATGCGTGTTTTGCATTTAGGCAGTACAAAAACGCATATTGTCGACGTGTTTTCCGTGAGTATTTGTCTGTACCAAGTTTCCACTTCGAGACCTACAAAAGCTACAAGGCCAAAACTCTGGCAACTTAATCTATACCTATGTACCGGCTCCCTATCTCACCTTAACGACGCTCGCGTCCACATGGTTACCAAGTGCGAGCACGTGAAAGATTCTTTGGCGGAAAAACGATCTCAGCACCACACAAGCTAGAAGGCTGAAACTTCACAAATATGTTCCTCGATCACGTTCAACCCAAAAATTTTAAATACAGCTTTCATGCGCTCCCAGGTCATACGTACGTGCACGTAAAAGTTTAGATTGGCACCAATTAAGCTAAATGAGGAATTGCAGAGAACTGTAATTCTGCAGCCTTGCTTATTGCCCACTGATGTGCCCGTAAAAGTAAACTGGGTTATCCAGCCATTTTATGTCCCACATACGGACACGTGAAATTTGACGCAGACAGCTTTGTAGCTTCGGAACTGAAGCAGCTAGAGAGCTGAAAATTTCTGGGCGAGGCCGATCCCGCTCGGCTCCAATTACTCTGCTAATACTATTTCACCGCATCGCCTGCCGGCACTGCTTGGCACTTTGCCAGCTGGTGTTGGGTAGCGTTACCCAGGTCTTGACAGTTAAACGATATGGTTGGGAGTGGGTCTGGGAATAGTATGGAGAAGAAATACAAGGGTACTAGTCAGGAGTTCGAGACAAGAAAACAGTGGTTGAGGGTGGTAATGGGCACCCAGATGCGACTCTAAAGGCACAATTTGGGGCAATGATAGAGGAGTGAGACAAAGGTACTAACTAATCAGGAGTTCGAGGCAAGAATTGCAAACAGCAGTAAAGAGGAAGAGACAACACAGCAGTACAAAGAAATGTAAATTAAAGAAATCCTAAACTTACGAAAAAAATTTACGAAACTTACCTGACAAGGACAACTTCGCCAGGAGCTGGATCGAGAAGACGCATGGGATTGCTGATCTTGTGAAGCTTTTTTTGCAGCTCATTCAATAAAAACTTGTTACGGTGCAGTGTTCCGAAGAAATTCTTTGCGCCTTCAATTAGAAAATAGCGTCAACGAACCGCCTTCACGTCAGCTCAATTATTTCATAAACAATGCACTAGTAACTGAATTAGATTTTAATTTATGGATACCAGAAAAAGCGAATGTGCACCTTAAGTCAGCAGTCAATTCTCCACACCTCCCTCCTTACTTTCTATAAGAGGCGAGGGTCTTTCGAAGCAAACCAGCTAATGGCACATGCGATAACAGCACTGCCAACGACTTTTTTTTTTCTTTGGGCTCCTTAGAAGCACTTTAATGACAACTCCGACTATAAAAATACCTGACTAATGCTGAAGAGGATGGAGAAACAGACAAGGAACTGCTTATCTCACTGAAAGAACTGAACTCTCCAGCTTCAGCACCAAGCCTTGTCATGCACTGAAGGCGAAAATGATTCAAAGTGCCAAAATGCCCACAGTCAAATTGCAGACAGATGATACTGAGACTTGGAAGAAGTTGAAAGTTACGACCATCCTGGCCAGGAAATGAATATGCAATAAAAATCGAGTGCATATCCGCTGCCGAATAGTGCAAAAATTCATGACGTCAGAAGAGTACTCATTCTTTTCGATAATATGATTCAGGGCATATTGGTCATTTTGTTGGCAACAAGTGAACGCAGCACATTTGTGTAATACCCAGGAAACTGTGGAAAATTCGGGTAGACTTTGAAAAAGCGGTGCACAAAACGCTGGACACGGGTAAGGCATTCAATCCAGGTATACAACTGCTAGCACAGCTGGACCAAACACCCCATTAACATCAGTGATATCATCTTGGTATTCTTGGTATGTGTATGTCTGTTAGCACACTTTAGATGTAGAGCCACGAAAGCTAAGAAGCTAGATTTCAGGATAACAGTCCACCGCCATTTGAGCGGACTAACACCACCACCTAGAATTCCAATACACAAGTGAATGAAAAGGGCCACGGATTCGAAATCTTGAAGATCCAAACCACTGTACATAACAGCTTCAAATTCGCTTTGTGTTATTTACTGCTGCCTGGCAGCAAAAATCTATGTCAGTGCTATGGCCTCGGAAGGAAGAAGACTAAGTAACTGGAATTTTTAAGCGTTTGATTCAACTGTAATACAATGTAAAGAAGCTGAAATCAGAAGCCAAGTCCCAATTAGGTTGCAGCCTCCAGGTCAATTCTGGAGGGGCAGATGATGGGGAATAAAAGCAAGCAAGAGTAGTGTAGGTCGGGAGCTACAGTGAGCTAAGACATTTCGGTCCATTGAGTCATATACGTCTTAACCCCACACTGCAACTGGACCTCGTCAGTACGACGGTCGCAGTGCGTAAGGAAGAAGCAAGAAGGAGAGATGTACATTTAGAAGTAAGGAAAGACCGTTTAAGATTGTCAAATTTGCATTTAGTAACAGGCAATCATCACATCGCTCGAAAGATCATTACATTTTGGTTCAACAGTTCGGCGATCCACGCATTGTGCATCAGCTTCAGCCAGCCACGAGGAAAATTTACCGCACTGACTGCTCGGTGCGCATCATTCTCATCAAGATTCGCAAGAATATGCACATGCACGATGTTAAGCACTTTTTTTTAGGAGAACTCACCATCAGTGTTCACAATATTCACGTAAAGAAGATTGCCAGCAGTGGCGGGCAACTGCAATGGCCGTAAATTGGCAATTTGAAGGCGAGTGTACGTGGCCCTGTGGATCTTCCCTACGCCCGAACTATCCAGCTCCAACGGCTGGCCCCCTGAAAAGCAGATCCCGGTAAAATATACAAATACAAGCACACGAAACAACAGTGTGCGGAACCCCGGTGCAGACCCATTTCACTGTAATGGAGAAAAAAGTCCGAGAGTCAGCATACGTCGCAATACTGCTTTCAGCGCTCATAAAAAACATAAAAAACAGTGGTGCTGTTAACCACGGGATTGATGCAAGCGTGCACCGATGGAACTCCCTCTTCTTCACACCCTCCTCCTTCATTCACACCTCCATCGAACTCCCTCTACACTCTTGATACACTTAAAAATCAGGTTCCTTCCACCGTATTCGTTACCACAGAGAGACGGAGGCACTCGGAAAGTAGTCCGACTAACAGCAAACGCCAACAGCAACCATATACTGGCAAGGCTGTCGATGACTTCCTCTTTCAAGGGTTGCTTACAAGCAAGCTGATTGCGGACACTTAAAAGGTGCAAAAGAAATGCACACGTCGTCCTTAAAAGTACGTCGCTTTTTGAAAGCCCGGAAACACGCAGAAGGGGAAGATTGAAGAGCTGATATGCATTTTTACATATACAACAATACAGTAAAACACACAAAAAGTGGAGCTGCAAACGAAAGAAACTGTGGCCAGAACACACTCAAAGTGATCCTTTCGCAACAGCACTAGCAAACAGATGTGGTATGCTGGCGAAGCACACATTCATCAGCAAAGGAGGTTCGAGGGAGGGAAAGGGTGCACATGTGATGAGTGACCGCCACTTTCCAGAAACAATAATTGGCCAACGCATGGGCTGCCCGTGCGAAGATGCATTTTTTTGCATAGCTCTCCGCAGTTTTTGTCGCTACTGGCATCGGATTTTTCGGCAAATGCTTTCAGCTAAACAAATTAAGATTGGCTGCTAAAACTGTCAGGAAACACCCCCTTAAAATTTCAGCTTTCTAGCTTTCCAGGCTCCTGAGTTAGCAACTTAGTGGAAGAAAACTTTCACGGGCCCGTACGTGGGTACCACGCACACCCGATGTCTGGGTTTGAGCTCATTGAGACTTTGTAGACGGGGAACATCCCCTTAAAACTACAGTCTTCTAGTTTTTCAGGTTCTCGAGTTAGCAAGTTACCCGTGGAAAAATTCAATGAGGTCGTGCATGGGTACCACGCATATCCGAGGGCTGGGTTTGAACACGTTGAGACTTGCGTGGACGGGAAACATTCCTTTAAAATTACAGTCTTTTAACTTTTCAGTTTCCCGAGTTAGCAACTTAGCCAAAAAAAATTTGACGGGCCCGCATGTAGGTACGACGCATACCCGGAATCTGGGTTTGAGCTCAATGAGACTTAGGTGGACGGAGAATACCATCTTAAAATTACAGTCTTCTAGCTTTTCAAATTCTCGAGTTAGCGACTTACCCGAAAAAAATTTTGGCGGCCCGTACGTGGGTTTCACGCAAGTAAGACAGCGCATTTTGGGAGTGGGGGCCCGTACATGCATATAGATTAAGTTCCCAAAGTTTCAGCCCTGCAGCTTTTCTAGGTCTCCAGATGAAAAACCGGTACAAAGGTCCAGCGCGCACACAGACATACACAGAAACACAGACATACGCACATACACACAGACAACCTCTCGTCAGTATGCGTTTTCCGCATTACATAGCTGTAAAAAACGCATAAAAATTCCTGCACTTACCGATTATAGATGTGAAATAGAAGTCGGAGGACGGGAAACAATCGTATCCACATCCCTCGAACAGCTGCTGGTGCCGCATCTGTAAAGCACGCTCAGTCGGTTCCCCTGCAATGCACCGAATTTCTCACGCGTTCGCACGCTGTTCTGGCTCATCCGTGGCTGCGCGGTGTAGCACTCGCTCGTTCGGCGCCCAGCTCTTCGGCATGAGTAGGAATGAGCACACAGACCGTGAGGGGGAGGCTCAGCGAGGGCAACACCTGCGCGGTCTCAGAAGAGGCTCATCGAACATCCATTCCCTTAATTCCATGCATTCATACTAACCACTACTCTTCATAAGCAGATTCACGGTGATTTTCCTCCCCCCTTCGTCATCTTCCTTAGCCAGCTCGGTGCCCACCGCTTGGCTGTCCCGCTGTCCCTCCCCCCTCTACTATTGGACCTAAACTACAGCAACGACCGGGAAGGGAGGAGGGAAGGGTTCCTGGGGAAAGGGAGGGGGGCAGTATCGAGCAGAGTTTTCTACATTAAAACAACTGCTACCTGGGCTCATAGGATGAGGGTGGAAGAGATGAAAGACTTCTCGTCCCCCTCCTTCCTAGATCCGCCAGTGGTACCGCTATGCCATCATGCTTGTGAGCGTGTGTGTTTCTGTCTGTCGGTCCACTTAATTCACGTCTGAGTTAGAGAAACCTCAACTTCTAGGACAAAGGCCTCAGTCCCCCGGTGAGAAACACATATAAAATCCACTCATTTGCCTCTGATTTAATGTCCCGGTTCATGATAACCCATCAAGGTCCAGCTTCGAGTAGGACGTAATAACTGAAAATCATGCAGCAAATCTTATAACTCGCTGCGTCTTAAATTTACGCTGACGTTGAGTTACACACTACTATTCTTTACTACATATATTAAAATGTAATATCTATACTACACTGTGGTGTGACTCTCGCAACAAAGTGTCGAGCTCCTATGCATAATTAAAGCAGGAAGAGCAGTAACTAAACTAAACGTGAAACTATGATATAAAAAAATACAATACATAAAACACAGTTACTGTAGCAAACAAAACATAACCCATCATCAACTCGCTTGTAAACAACACTCAGAAGAGAAGACCAATAAAACTTTGCCAGCGGGCAGTTATTATCGGCATTTGCTACCAATCGGATTACTTCTCAATTACCTTCGCCTCCCACTGAGAGGAGGGGGAAGTTGACTTTTTGACCTCAGCAAGCAATGGGCTGTAGACAGCTCTCAAACAGTTACATGTTAGTACGAGCACAGAGTAGACCTGAGAAGACACGAGCTAAACCCAGCCTGGAACGCACAAGGCGGGCCCGTGCGATTACGCGTTTTTGCACTTTTCGTGCTGTAGTAAGATCGCAAGGAATCACAGCAGTTAACCCTATGACATACTGGTCCTCGAAGTCCGGGAACTTAGTAGTGCAACTGTTTGGTATGTCAACTTCAGTGACCCAACAAATGGAAAGCTGCTGGTCCGCAAAAAAGCCGCACTAGAGGAGTTAAATTTGAGATCTTTTGGTCACACATGAGTAGGGGACATTACCCTAAAGTTTCAGCTTTCCAACTTTGTTCGTTCCCGGGTTAGTAATTTTCGCGCTAAAATTTCCAAATGCCCGAACGCTGGCCCCGGGTACTTCTAAACACCTGATTTTGGTTGTACAAGAGTAGGAAACATTCGTCGAAAGTTTCAGCTTTCTAGCTTTTCTCGTTCCTGGGTTAGTAATTTCCACAAAAAAATTTCCACGCGCTCGTACGTGAGCCCCGAGTGTTTCCAAACATCTGATTTTGGTTGTATATGAGTGGGGAACATTACCGTAAAGGAACATTCCCGAGCCTTCTAGCTTTCCCGTTCCCGGGTTAGTAATTTTTGCGCCGAAACTTTCACATGTAGCATAGGTGGATCTCCGGCGCCTTCAAACAACTGATTGTACATAAGTAGGGAACATTTCCGTAAAGTCTCAGCTTTCTAGCTTTTCCAGTTCCCGGGTTAGTAATTTCCGCGCCAAAATTTCCAAATGCCCGTAATGGGCCCCGGGTACTTCTAAACACCTGATTCTGGTCGTACATAAGTGGAGAACATTCCCCTAAAGTTTCAGCCTTCGTCTCCGGGTTAATAATTTTCGCGCCAAAACCTTCACATGTAGCGTAGGTGGTTCTCGGGCGCCTCCAAGCAACTGATTTTGGTTGTGCATGAGTAAGGAACATTTCCGCAGAATTTCAGCTTTCTAGCTTTTTTCGTTCACGGGTTAGTGATTTTCGCGCCAAAATTCCCACATATCTATACATGGACACCAGGCGCTTCTGAAAAACACTTGATTTTGTCGTACATGAATAGGAAACATTCTCCAAAAGTTTCAGCTTTCTAGCTTCTCTCGTTCCTGAGTTAGTAATTTTCGCGTCAAAATTTTCACGTTCCCATACGTAAGCTCCGGGCGGCCACAAGGAGCTGAGTTTGAAAACTTTTGGTCGTGCGTGAGTAAGGAGCATTCCCTCAAAGTCTCAACTTTCTAGCTTTTCTGATTTTCCAGTTATGAATTTTCCCGCCATAATTTCCAAGTGCCCGTACGTAAGCCCTGGGCGATCCTGGGCAGCTGAATTTGAAATCTTTTTGTCACACACAGGTAGGGAACATTCCCCTAAGGTTTCAGCTCTCTCGCTCTTTTCGTTCCCAAGTTATCAGTTTTCCCGCCGAGTTTTTCATGTGCTCGTACGCGGAGCCCAGACGTGCGTAAGAGTTGAAACCGCGGCCCTGGGGCGACAGTTGGCTGGGGAGTTAGCAATTTCCCCGCCAGAACTTTCGCGTGTTCGTACGCGGAATTCAGAGGTGCGTGAGGGCTGGTAGTGCACTTGACCGAAGAGCCAACTGGCAAAATTTTGGCGCTGCAGTCTACTTGTTGCCAAGTTGAAATATCCGCACGGACACACACATGCACACAAAATACGTAAACACTCATACCATGGGTCGTCACAATACGCATTTTTGCATTTGCATATATGCAAAAACATATCACCAAGTCCACTGCCGACGAACGTTACATCATCGAAAATGGAAATTTTGGTGCTTTTTATGCGCTGAATCACTCAAGGACAAGTGCTGCAAGTATTGGTGGCACAACTATCAAATGGCATCCGCAGCATCGCATCACAAAAATACACAGGCAAGCCGACCTACAAGCGCAAAACACATGTGTCCGCGTACACTTTCACAGCCGTCCCTTACAAATGGGAGCCCAAACAGTGGTGCCGCAGAATCCGTTAACTCGGCCAGCCCCTTTCCCACCGCGTTCGCGACAGCCGGAAAGCCAAACAAATCGACAATGCACAAATCTGTAAACAACAGCTAAACACAAAGACAGAGCCACTGAGACTCGACTCGGCTCGGCTCGGCCGCGCAATATGCATCCGTTTTTGGGTTCGGGTTTGCGCTGGGGAATTCGCAGTAGCGGCTCTTTTGGTACAGGTGTTGTATGTACTAATTCACTAACTTCCTCTCAGCATCACCAAGTCCCATGCTAAGCACAAGGAATATGCAAAAGCCCCTTTCGCCCTTGCTTTTTACTTCCAAGCAGCGTCTCAGCTCCTTCCTAGTCAATAACCTCGTCCCCTCCTTGGCGTTATGACTCCCGTGACTTAGGCTATCACCACCCAGGGTCCTCACTCTCTCCCTCTCAATCTCTGAAAGCTAACTCGCCCTCAGACCCGGCCGAGCCGAGTTTCAGTAGTCGCTGTAAACAATTCCACTTGGGTGCATGCCAGATTCTCCACATACAGTAGTTCAAGGACGATCGCTCGTACAGGGGGTTATGTATGTGTTTCGGAGAAGCTGGGGAGTTCGGCTGAACTAGATCTGGGGTGGTTCAGGATTCTCGAAGAACAGTTCGGAGGATATGTCCTGCAAGATGGATGGTCACATCGGTCCAAAACCGGCGTCTCTTGAGATAGTACATCCAGTTGCCTGAGAAAGTTTTCCAAAATCTTTTTAGCCACAAGTAAGCAAGGAAAATGAACGATTATTCGGAGAGTTTATTAGAGAGAACAACTAGTATCAGAACTACAGCCTCAAGCAGCTCCTGAACCATTTTTGTGAGCGTAATAACACTAGTGCTTGAACAATCCCTCACTGGACAAATGCAGAATGCACTGCCCTTCTGGAAAACAAGGTGGAGGCCCCATTCCAACCTCTTCGCCTCAGAAAACTTGAAATTGTACAGCACTGAATAACTCCAGTAATCCTCCATGACTTGAGAACACTTCTTACCTGAACGGATCAAAACGGAAGGCTAGAGGTAAGTGAGCACATCAAGTCAGAAAGTCACCGGCACCTCTCTCTATTCGCTACGGTGCATGTATCTTGCGAGGCCTCATTAAAGGTTGAAAAGAAAATATCAGAAGAAGGAAACAATGAAAATGAGGAAAAGAATAATAAAATGGAAAAGAGGTATAAAGAAATATTTGTAATAGGTAAGAAATGTTTAGGTCCATTAAGTCCTATATATTTCTTATGTCTTGGCCTGGTTTACTGAGGTCCGTGGGATTTATTTTTAGCCTTTATCAAATATAAATGATAAGTTGCGGCGGTGAGAAGGCCGAATCGTATGCTTAAAAACAAAGAAGTAAAATGTGGATCAAGAAGTAAATGGCGAAGAAGTAAAATCAAACAGATTAACCGGACGAAAAGTGACAGTGCGGAGCGCCTACACAGAGTTAGCAGACGGTGCATTGCTACTAAATATTTCCAGAGAATTCATGATTCAACTTGCGATGGAGTGCCACCGTGGCTCGGGATGAGATGATATCGGTGAAACTGCGCCGCTTAACAAAAAGAGTAAATATCGTTATAAAAAAAGGCGTTATGAAACACACTGTGAAATTGCTGTAACGAAGAGCCAACACTCAAACTCAGATAATGCTGCAGCTGACATGCTAGACAGAACTCATGAAAAATCTACTCCTAGTCGCAGAGCTAAAACCCTAAGCTGGGACGCACCAGGCTTGTCAGTGCGATCAACCAGATCGTTAACTGTATAAATGATTTTTACTTGTATTTATGGTACT